TGAAAAATTATCCCACAAAAAGTAGAACACAAGTTACCAGGACCTAGGGGAAAGGAGTAATGGGGAGTTATTATTTAACAGATACTGAGTTTGGGATGAAGAAAAAGCCTTGGAACTAGAGGTGATAGTTGCACAACATTATAGATAGGATGGTAAAGCTTATTAAAATTTAATGTGTGTATATGTGTCATAGGGAACCACTGGGGATTGCTTCAAAGCTCAGGGCAGCTGAGGACCTGGAAGGACATGAACTCACTGCGTAGTGGGGACGCGCTGCGGGTTACACTTATGTAACCATGACTTAGCATGCAACAGCCATGTGTGTGCTACACAGTTATCAGTACACAAGAATGTAAATATGTGGTAACAGCATATGTAAGACTCAATAAAGATGCAAGCTGCCCTGCTTCCTGCTGCTGCTGTGTTGCTGATGTGTGCTGCATGGATGTTCTTTAACCTGGAGACTTGACCCATAAAAATCTCCCTTGGGAAAAGCTGGGCATGGTGGTGCACGCCTGTAATCCCAGTACTCAGAAGGCTGAGGCAGGAGGATCACTGCAAGTTCAAGAGCAACTACAAAGTAAGTTCAAGGCCAGCCCGAACTGCATAGTGAGACCCTTTCTCAGAAAGACCGAAGAAAAGAAAAGAAAAAATCTCCCTTGGCCCCTGGCCCCAGCATGTGTGGAGAAATGTATGTTAACACCAAACACTCACTATAGAGTTTGATTTGAAATATATGTACAGTCATAGTAATTAATAAGTAGATATGTATTTACATTTCCCAAAGTCTACAAACTGTCACTGTCCATAAAACATTTTCAAAAACCTCTCACTGAGAAAATCTCTTAGGTAGGTTCTGCATATCTGTCAAGTGTGTGTCACTGTGTGGACAGTGGGAAACAGAAAAGGGAGGAGGGTCCTGAAAGGCCACCCTTTTTGCTCTTCCCAGGAGGAAGGAACACTGCCACCAGGTACTGCTGGGAATGCTGCAGGCAGGCTGATCAGGAATAACGTTGAAGGCAAAGCACACATTACCACCATAAAAAGAGAGAAAGGAAGAAAGAAAAAAGAAGGGCATGACCACAGATCACGTTAACTCTATGCCAACAAAGCCAACACGTTAGACAAAAAGGAGTTCCTTGGAAAACACAACCCACCAAACTGACACACACAAAAATTTAAAACTCAAAATAACTGTACATTAATTTTAAAAGTTGACAAGCAGAAGATTTCCTTCAGTAAAAACCACAGGTCCAGATGGTTTCCCTTGGAAGTTCTACCAAACATTTAAGGAAAAAATAATATTAATTTATACAGACTCTCTTAGAAAATAGAAACTATTCCCGACTCATTTTGTGAAGCAGTATAACCCTGCCAAAAACTTGACATACATTACAGGCAAAGAAAATTGGAGAGCAACATTCTTTATGATGCAAAAATCCTTGACAAAATGTTAGCGAGTTGACAGAAGCAGGACATAAAAAGAAAGGATAATCTATCCTAACTGGGTTTTATTCCAGGGAAGCAGGCTTCTAACATTTGAAAATCGATCGATGCTATTTGCTACTTTAACAGAAATTAAAGGAAGAACCCATATCATCTCAATAAATATTACAAGGCCTTTGACAAAATTCAATACCTATCATGATTTAAAAAGCAAAACCTTTTGATAATTATGAGAAAGGAACTTCTTGATAAGATTCCAAAGAAAAAACTAGATAGTAATATTTAACAATGAAACCCCAAATTTTCCCCTGACTGTAGCAAAGATACTTTCAGCACTTCTGTTTAGAATTATTACATGTTAAAAGACAATAAAAGCAAATAATCATACGTATCATAAAACCAATATTTTTTCAATACGAAGGATTTGCACTGAGCCACATCCCCCTGTTTTTGTTTTTGTTTTGTTTTTAATTTTAAGACAAGGTCTTATCCAGTCATTAAGTTGCCCAGTGTGGACTGGACCTTGCTATCCGCCTCCCTCACCCTTCCTTGTGCAACCATGTCCAAGAAAACCATCCCCATTTCTGAAGCATTAAAATTCACAAACCATAGATTTAACAACAGGTACAGGAAGCTTCTGCAGTGAGAACTACAACACAATAATGGCATGATTTAAGCTATAATTTACTGACTGATGTTTATTAAAGTAATTTTATAAGGAGCTTCTGTTGGAGGCACTTTGATATTTTCACAAAGCCTTCCTTAAGCAGTACAAGAACCTTCTGGGACCTGGGAGGACTTGGCTTAGTACTAGTTTGAACTACTAGTTGGCAAAAAGTGTTTATAACAATCTCCCTTATTCTCATTTTCCTTCAGCCCACCTAGACCAGGGATCCCAGACCCCGTGCCATCCCATGGACTGGTGTCTGTCCATGCCAGTTAGGAGCCAGGCCACCCAGCAGGAGTAAGCAGCAGGCCAATCAAAAGAGTTCTTCTGTATTTGCAGACGCTCCCCATCTGCATTCTGCAGCAGCACTGGATTCTTGCAGGAGCATAAACCTTACTGTGAACTGCCCCTGGGAGGGATCTGACCAGGGTGTGTGCTCCACTGAATCATCCTGAAACCACTCTTCCCACTCCACAACCACCCCTTATCCCTTGGAAAAACTGTCTCCCACGATACCAGTCCCTGTTGCCACAAAGGTCAAGAACTACGAACCCAGAGCATCCTGGTGTATTCTTAGCCTAACTACTGTGATAGGTGACTGTGCTGTCAACTTCAATAAGAAACACCTAGCTGCTTGGTTTAGCACAGTTCTGGGTATGTCCTGATGACTGACTGACTGAAGACAGAAGACCTGCCCTGGTGTAGGTGCTACCAACCAACAGGCTTGCAGCCTGCATGGAATGAAAGGGAAAGAAAAGAGAAGTCTCACTTCCATTTATTCAGAGGTGCTCTAGTGTTGGCAGTCAATCGCCTTTGGATGTCCATCTCCGAGCTTTCAGCCCAGACAGTTCAGCCTTCCAGGGCAGACCCTTTGGCTTCCTGCTATAGACTCACACCTGGCTCTGCACTAGGCTCCCAACCTCTGACTCTGGACCGGATCCTCTGGTTCTCCAGCACACAAATGGCCCTTTTGCTTTCTTCCACCACCCCCTCCAACTGCAGGCAGCCACTGTCGGTCTACCTTGTAAATCCTATATATATCATACATGTATTTTGTATTAAATCTCTTCCTATGGTGAACCCTCACTGGTATACCCACTGTATGTGACATTCCAGACAAGTCAAAGAAAGCACTATAGAAAACTCGAACATTTTAAACTGATTTTCTTCAACTCTTTTATTAGTATAACCTGCCCAGATTCATGCAAAAAGGAAGGTCCGTGTTCATCCTGCTCACTCCAAAGGCCGCTTCCCCCCAGCCTGTCCAGTGGGTGCAATGCTGTCTCTCTCGCCCTGGCAGCCAGTGACCAAGAAGAAGGGCATTCAGGTGCCACAGTGAGAGAGACGTGGGTGGAGCGCTGATGCAGACCCCTTTCTCTTCCTTTACTCTCCTCCTCTAACTCTTAGGAGTTCCGTTTTTTAAATTTTTGTGAGCTTCATTCTGCACAGAATATGAATGAAATCATTTACCCAGCAAACATAAAAAAGAACCTTTAATTTTGGTTTATATCTGCCTTCAACTTGAGAGAAAGTTAAGATTAATGGAGCATTATTTTTATATTTAGTGGTTTTCTAACTAAAAAATCATAAAGCATAAATAAAAATTCACTGTGATTTTCTTTTCTTTTTTGTTTCTTCTGTGTGTACCGCCCCCACCCTGTACTAGAGATGAACCTTCACACTGAGTTACATCCCCAGTCCCTTTTTATTTTTTGAGACAGGGTCCTGCTCAATTGCTGGGCTTAAATTTGTGATACTCCTGTTTCAGCTTCCCAGAGTCCTAGAATGACAGGCTTACATCACCATGCCCAATTTATTATAGTGATTTCTAAACACTTGATCTCAGACATTGGCAAAAGAGGTATTCTTTTCTGTTCATCAGATCCACAGCAAGGACAGATAAAGTTTCACTTAATGTCTTTGCCATTTGACTGAAACATAAAGAGTAACATATTTGTCCCTACATACAAAAAATTAACAGACTTTATGGTAGAGAATATTCATGTCCCTCCCTACAAATGTGTCTTCTTCCTAGGCTTCATGCAAATAGGAATTTTATATGTGAGGGAGAATTAGGATTAAAACAATGGACTGACTCTAAGGTGGGGCCAACGTCATCAGAAGGTCCCTAATAAGTGGAAGGGATGCAGAGTTGGAGCGGTGCATCATGAGGAAGACTCAGCTGACCATGGCTGCCTCTGAAGACAGTAGGGGGCCACCAGCCAAAGGATGCAGGCCACCTCCATCGGCATAGCAACAGGCAAAAAATGTTGTCCTGCCCCACCACCCCCACAGCCTTTAAGAGTAGCATAGCCTTCTGACACCTTGATTTTAGCACACTGAGACCCATTTCAAACTTACAACTGCAGAATTATGAAATAATAAGTTTGTGTTGTGTGTTAAGCCATGAAGTTTGTGGGGATTTATTAAAGCACGTTGAGGCTCAGAAAAGGACTCCACAGAGTCTAGTGCTTCAGCCTGCTGAGCACTTTGAACAGAAGGAAATTGGAAAGCAGGCGAAGCTGCCTCAGAACCCAGGTCCCTGGGATCTTCCCTCGTTCCCTGACCCACAGTGCAGGGAGAAGCTTCCTCTGAAGTTCTCTTATCTGCCTACAGACAGAGTCCACCAAAATGCAACACAGCTGCTTTCAATCCTCCTACTGAGACTTCATTAACCAAGGAAGATTAAACTCACCAGAGGAAGAGACTGAAAATCAAACACCACATCTAGAGCCCAGCAAACTTTGTCTGGGGCCATTGTGTCTTCGATGGGTCCATTTGTCTCTGCTGAAAATCATTTACCCCATCTACATTGCCTGCAGCTTTATTTCCCCACTACAAAGACAGCTGTGTAAGTTTATGAATCCCTTTGTTACTGGGTACTCACCTTCCTGTGATGCTCCCGTGCACATAAATCCGTTTCTGTGTGTGGTCTCCAGTTCATCCACTGATGGTTTAAACAAATTTAAAGACTCAAACTTTCAGAGAAGGAAGGGATTCCCTTTGCCTCTGTTGCAATAAGCAACTAATACAGATCCTTTGTTCATTGTTATGTCACATAATTGAGTAGTTTGGACACAAGATGGCAATAGTCTGCCGGATTTATCAAAGGAGTTCTGTCACTTTTGTGACATTATTAATGTATTATGAAGGGCAATGATTTAAGTTTTTTCTAATAAAAATTTTTTGGTCATCCTGTCACATTTTCCTTGAAGTTCTCCTCAATATTGTTAGTTATTTAAATTAGCCTTTGATGAATTTTTAAATTCGATTTCCTACAGTAACTTTTATACAAAGGATGAGCTACAAATTCATACTAGAATTGTGTCACGGGGGTAGAACATTTTTTTCTTCCCAGTGCCTAGAACATTATTAACAGCATCGCACAGCTGATGCCCAATAAATAATTGAATGAGAGAGCATCTTATGTCCAATTTGCATATGTATTTTTTGTCGTGTTTCTCACATTAACCTGAATAATCTGAAACTTGAAGAAAATCCTTTTTTCCCAAGATTTTCAAATTTAACACTCTTCATGAAGCACTCATTTATCCCAATATGCTTACCGTGCATTCTCCTTTGTGCTGAAGAGAAACAGCCAGTTCGTGTTGTGCAGAGCGTGTCCTGCCTTCCACCCAGGTGAGTCCAATTTTATCCCAACTTCCCAGCCTTCCTGTTCACCTGCCAGCACGCGTGGGTGCTCTGGGGGATCACGCGGCCAGGACAACAATGGGCCGGAAGGCAGACACCTGGGAACACGGGGCCTCTTACAGCTCGGCGCTCTCACTGTGCCTACCGGTGCCCTTGGATGCTTTGTTTTCTGGCTGTGCCCACTGTCACGGGGAAGGACATGTGGTGTCCTGGGTCTCCTGCTGCCTGTCAAGACCTCCACGTCAAAGGGAGAAAAGGCCATTTTAGGAAAGTACTTACCAGCTGCTGAGAAAGAAAAATAATTCTCTCTCTACCCCTTATCTTTCTTAATCAGAATTATCTGAAACAAAGGAGAGATTAACAAACAATTGTTTTTGAGACAGAGTCTCATTACGTTGCCCAGGCTGGCCTTAAACTTGCCTTTTCCCTGCTTCAGCCTCCTTAATGTTGGGATTATAGGCATGATTCACCACACTGGGCCTTCACAAGTTCTTAACTGGAACGCCTTATAACAAAAACAAACAATTTATTAATCAATGTGTATACTTTATCTCACGTGTATGTAGGAAAAAACTCAAATTTGTAATCTTTAGAGTAAATCACAGGGGAAGCATTTAAAGTTTTTGTAAATGGGAAAGGAACCAAGAGTTGGAGGGAGGGGAAGAGGGTGGGGAAGGGGACATGAAAGGGACTGAGGTGTGTTATACACACACACCAGCTCCCCACGATGAATGCAATCATTATTTACCGCAAATGTGAACTAAAAAACCAAAAACAAAAAACCTTTCAGACTTAAATACCTTCAGTCTTTTGGTGTTCTGAGACAGTCTCAGTATGGTAGCCTTGAGCCTACTGTGCAGCCCAGGCAGACCTCAGACCCATCAGTCTTGAGAACAAAGAAGCAAGTGGGGATGCCCCAGTTTAACAAGGCCAGGAAAGGCATCATTAAAGGAGGGTGAGATCGCCACACAGACTGAAGCCTGTCTTCTCCAGTGGCTGAGCCTCTAGTGATTTACAGTGAGCTTGAACCTGAGGCACTTGCGTGGCAGGCAGGCTCTCTACCACTGAGGTGCACCTTTGCTCCTGGTGCTGTATTTCTTCCTGGTCCAGGGAGGGAGATGCTCTTATACAAAAGATTTCCTTTATGCACATAAACTTCTCTAAAAGGGCAACTGTTTAGAGTTACTTCTGCATGCACTTTCTCACAATAACAGCTCAGAATAATACACTAAGGAGGCACATTTGGGGGAGGGTGGGGAATTCTGGTCTCTACACTCATAGTACTTTGGGGTCATATGTCTTGAGCCCCACTACATTACACTCTGTCCCCAGATACCCTGTAAATTCTGATTCCTTTGTTTTCTTCCTTATCATGTCATTTTACAGTTAGTGAAGGAGCACAAGACTGCAAGTTCCTTGTAGAGAAGACTGTATTATCCCTTTTTGTATTCCCAACACCCAGCCAATCCTGGGAGCACAATAAATCCTTCTGAGGGAAAGAAAGAAGGAAAGATTGAGGCTCAGAAAAGGATACTTCAAAGTGTGTCATTCAGTACGCTGATTAGTTTAAATTGAAAGAGCTTAGGAAGCAGCAGACACAGAAGCAGGCTTTCTCTGAAGTTCCCTTATCTGACTAAGGAAAGCTCCTCCAGAAGAAATGCAATTGTCTTGAGCCCCTTTCTGTAATTTCATCTGCAGGAAAGGAGACTAAACATCTCCACCTATTGACACTAAGTACACCACCTATTCTTCTGCAGAACTCTATCTGAGTAATTTTATTTGCATATCAAGACAGCCTTCGTTTACCATGCATTTTCCCTTTCCAACATCCCATGGCCTCTTTGCAGGCCCCAGACCCCTATTGATTCATTATTTATGTATTTATTTTGGGGTTTTTTTAAAAAAGGATTTCACTATATAGCTCAGGCTAGCCTCAGACTCTCTATGTAACTCAAGCTGGTCTCAAACTTGCAGTGATCCTCCTGCTTCGGCCTCCTGAGTATTGGGATTACAAGTGTGCTCTGGCACACTCAGCCCCAGACTCCTTTCCTGTCACCACCTTTCCCCAGAAACCCTACGTCCCTAATTATTTCTGAAGCTCAGCATGTTATTAAAGTTTCAACCACCTGGCATTTCTTTGAGTCTCATATTTTGGTGTGGCTCCCCTGCACAAGCCCATAAATAAATTTATATGCTGTTGGTCCTATTAAACTATCAATTATCGTTTTATTTCTGCCGACTCAGACTCAGTTATCAGATCTTCAGAGGGCAGAGGGGAAGTTCTTTTCATCCCCACAGAAGGAAGCTGGGGATGGGAAGGTGAAGGCTGTCCATCACTGGGGTCAACTGCAGATGAGTAAGATAGCTGCTAATTTTCAAATACTTAAATACAAGTGTGCACATATATATTTAACCTAGAAAAAATAAAAATTACATTCATTTCAGCATAATTCCCAATTGCAAACTCCGGGGGTAATAAATGTAATGAGACTTAAAATCAACCCTGGTTTCCCTCTTTTATAAAGATAAGGACGGAATTTGCAACTTGTAATGTTTTTCTTCAAAAGAGTGTGATTTGCTACTCTCTAATTTGATAAAGTTCGTTATGCTTCAAACACAGATTCAGGTTTTAAATATTAATAAACCTCAGAAAGCAAGAATCAAATCCTCGACTATTCATGAATTAATTATCACAATTTTAAAATTCCAGTTTTACAAAGCATATCACAAAGTGTCAAATGGCTTTTCCAAGTCATGTCTTCTTTTGGGTATTAATTCATCATTAGATAAAATTATACACACACACACATATGCATTTGAGAAGTAATACTATAGTTTGAAGTTTCTTATTTTCAGTTATACATTTTTGCATTCAATAGAATGATTATAATTATCATTTTGAACTGGGGCATAGATCAGTGGTGAGGCCCTGGGTATGATCCCTAGCACTGCAAAAAGTAAAAATTTAGAAAATGACCTTTTTTGTGTTTCAGAGTGCCGTATTTCAATCCTATGGAAGTTCAAATAATGGTACATTTTAATCTTTATCAAACAGTCCTTTTTCTTTACCCTCCTAACCCTAACATTCACCAAGTAATAAATTTCTTTTCTTACAATTTGTTTTTTCACTGATTTTGTTTTCTTATTTTATTCTCCTCTCCTTTTTTTTGGTACTGGGGTTTGAGTCTCACACCTTTTCACTGAAGTGCATTCCCATTCCTTCTCTTTTTTTTTTTTTTTTTTTTTTTTTTTTGATGTAAGATCTCACTAAATCGCTAAGTTGCCCAGGCTGAGCTTGAATTTGTTGTAATCTTCTTGCTTCAGTCTCCCAGAGGGCCGAGATTATAAGCCTGTACCTTATTTTCTTAATATATCTATATACCATAATATATATTATATATACTTGAACTATATATATATACTTAATATATACAGTATATATATATACTATATAAAATAGTTTCTTCCATCTCAATATCTACTGACTTGCAATAATGTGCAATAAGATTTATTTCATCCTTTCATTCCCTCTCATCACTCTCCCAGTAAAATAATATCTCAAATGCCCATTAAATTTATGCTCAGTGCTTTCATAATTTTGATTACGTACATGTGGAATGTAGCTTACTTTTGAGCCAACTAGTATGATCTTACATCTTTAATAATTTTTTCTAGAGTTAATAAATTACCTCATTTGAAGACATTTTCTTAATTTTCTTTGAACATCTGACTAAATCTTTCCATATCCTTGAAGGCTTTGTAAAATGCTTCACAGTGGTGAGGCCCTGGGGCTGATCCCTAGAACTAAATTTCATATAAAACATCACCCAAGGAACGCTCTCTGCCTCTATTGTATCCTCTGTTTCCTCCATCCCATGGATTCCAAAATCCTAACGTCCTTCTAAATTGAGGAGTGCATGTGTGTGCACATCTGCATAGTACAATTGGGTACATCCTCAGTTAGCTTCCTAATAAATGTGTTTGGAATCAAGTTTATTGGCACATGACTGCAATCCCAGCACTCTGGGAGGCTAAGGAGAATCAAATTCAAGCCCAGGCCGTATATCATAGTTACTTTTCTTGTTGCTGAGACAAAATCCCTAACAACTAAAGATAAAGATGGGAAGGTTCATTTAACTCACAGTTTGTAGAGGTTTCGTTTATAGCTTTTTGTTTCCAAGGCAATGTGGCATGGCTGAGGGGAGCAGCTCATGGCAAGCACAAGGTAGGAGACAGCAAGCTACAATAAACCAGGAATGAGCCTCTTTTCTGTCCCTTCTGTCCTATCCAGACTCCC